TTATCCAACTTGTAGCCATTAAGTTACTTACTGATTAACAAGTCTGACTGATGAGAACAGATGTCTAAACTCATCTCAGCATGGCCATGCATTTCTTCAGTCATACTTATCAGTGGGCCCCTACAAGACATCATTCTGCTTGAGTAGCAGTGACAAATTCTTTGTACGTAATCTACGTCTTCGAATACGTGCAGCGACATGCCCAATACAAAGCCTGTATACCATCCTTATTTCATACGGCTTAGGACAATGAATCAAAGCATGCGGGTTCACACATTCGAAGAACGTAATACTTCAAGTCTGAGGATCGTTATACCAATAGTCGCATTAAGGACACTTAGAGTATAGACTAAAAGTCTAGGCAATGTCCTTAAGGTGGGTCAGGTCTGGCATCCTATTATTAACGATAATATCTGCCCGAGAGTAGATGCGAACACTCCGTCATTGACCAAGAGACTAGGTCAAACATCTAACTCTCACTAGTCTCACTCGCATTAACGATATCCTGCTCTCGTTAATGCTTCGACTATAGACCGTTCAGAATTATACTAAGTGACAAGATGTTAGTCTCAACATCAGAAGACTCATTCTGATAAACATCTTATAATATAATTCTAGGAATGCAATTAAGAGTTTACATTAGCATGAGATGTTTGTAAACTTAATGCATCTGCCTTTACATCATAGAAAATATCTAAGATATTACAACAACAGTTGGCCATAAGGGCACCAACTCCAACAATCTCCCACTTGCACTATGGCCAATCTGGCATCTGTCGAATGCCCATTGACCTAGTGTGACCCTCATGCTTTAGCTTTCCCAAGGGCTTGGTCAGGGGGTCGGATATGTTGTCGTCTGTTCCTACTTTGCAAATCTCTATATCACCTCTGTCTACGATTTCTCGTATGATGTGATAACGTCGTACAATGTGCTTGGTCTTTTGGTGAGATCGTGGTTCCTTTGCCTGTGCAATGGCCCCAGTGTTGTCGCAAAATAACGGGATTGGGTCATTAATGCTAGGAACCACTCCAAGTTCAGAAATGAACTTCTTTATCCAAACACCTTCCTTTGCTGCTTCAGCAGCAGCCATGTACTCAGCCTCTGTAGTTGAATCGGCGGTTGTGCCCTGTTTAGAACTCTTCCAGCTAAAAGCTCCACCATTCAGGCAAAACACATACCCTGCTTGTGACTTGTAATCGTCTCGATCGGTTTGGAAGCTTGCATCAGTGTAACCGACCACTTTCAGCTCTTCCTCATTTCCATATACCAGGAATGCATCCTTAGTATTCCGAAGATACTTTAGGATGTTTTTGACCGCTGTCCAGTGTGCTTCACCTGGATTCCCCTGGTATCTGCTGGTCACGCTTAAAGCAAATGAGACATCAGGTCTAGTACATATCATGGAATACATGATGGAACCAATTGCAGAAGCATATGGGACCTTCATCATGAGTTCCTTCTGCTCGGGAGTAGAAGGACTCTGGCTCTTGGAAAGAGCCGTGCCAGGTATCATAGGTAAGGATCCCTTTTTCGAGTTAGTCATGCTAAATCGATCAAGGACCTTATCTATATATGTACTTTGACATAGACCTATCATCTTTCTTGACCTATCACAGTAGATTCTTATGCCAAGGGCATAACTAGCATTCCCCAAGTCCTTCATGGCGAAGTTCTCGCTCAACCAAGTATTTACAGACGTAAGAGCAGGAACATTGTTACCCATTAACAATATGTCATCGACATATAGAATTAGGAATACTATCACACTCCCACTGACCTTCTTGTAAACACAAGACTCGTCAGAATTCTTCTCGAAACCAAAACTAGTGATGGTTTCATCAAAGCGTATATACCAACTCCGAGATGCTTGTTTCAATCCGTAGATTGACTGTTGCAGCTTACAGACTTTGGCCAGCAATTGTAAAACCGTCAGGCTGTGTCATATAGACATCCTCTTTGAGGTTCCCGTTAAGGAAAGCCATCTTGACGTCCATCTGCCAAATCTCGTAATCGTAGAATGCTGCAATCGCAAGCATTATCCGAATGGACTTCAGCATCACAACTGGAGAAAAGGTTTTATCATAGTCAATTCCATGGATTTGTCTATAACCTTTTGCTACCAATCTAGCTTTGAAGGTATGAACCTTCCCGTCTACGTCTGTTTTCTTTTTGAAAATCCACTTGCACCCTATGGGTTTTATCCCTTCAGGCGCATCAACCAAGGTCCAAACTTGGTTTGTGTACATAGACTCCATTTCGGATTTCATGGCATTAAGCCATTGTTCGGATTCGGGGCACGTGATTGCCTCGAGGTAGGTCTCAGGTTCGCCTTGGTCTACCAGCAAGACGTCACCTTCATCAGATACAAGGAAACCGTATCTAACCGGAGGATTACGCATCCGGTGTGACCTACGTGGTAAAACCCGAGCCGGTCGAGATACTAAATCTTGACGCTCGGATTCCACTACTGATGAGATCTCTTCTTGTGGTTCTCGAATTTCTTCGAGGTCTACCTTTCTCCCGCTAGAAATAGCTGAGAGAAACTCCTTCTCAAGGAAGGTTCCGTTCCGAGCAACAAAGATTTTGTTATCGGTCGGATGATAGAACTCATACCCTTTCGTTTCCTTAGGGTATCCCACAAATTTACACCTGTCAGATTTGGAATCTAGCTTACCAGACGTCATGAGGCGTCTAACGTAAACATCACAACCCTAAATCCTCAAGTACGAAAAATTTGGTTTTGTCCCACGCCATAACTCGTATGGTGTGCTCTCAACAGCCTTAGATGGTACGCGATTGAGTGTGTGTGCGGCTGTTGATAGTGCTTTTCCCCAAAAAGACTCTGGTAATGTTGTTAGACTCATCATACTCCGAACCATATCGAGCAGCATTCGGTTTCTCCTTTCAGACACTCCATTTAATTGGGGTGTACCGGGAGGAGTCAGCTGGGATAGGATCTCGTGCTCTTTTAGATAGTCTTCGAACTCTAGGCTTAAGTACTCACCTCCTCGATCCGAGCGGAGGGTCTTGATACTTTTGCCTAATTGTTTCTCTACTTCGTTTCTGAATTCTTTGAACTTGTCAAAGCATTCCGATTTGTGTTTCATGAGATACACATATCCATACCGACTGAGGTCATCAGTAAATGTTACGAAGTATGAGAAACCACCTAATACATCACTCGCCCTTTCACCGTGACCGGTGAATGGAGCCTTTGTCATTTTACCGAGTAAACAAGATTGGCATACATCATAAGACTCGAGGTCAAATGAATCAAGTACGCCAGAGTGACGTAACTTAGATATGCGTTTCTCGTTAATGTGGCCCAAACAACAATGCCAAAGGTATGTGAGATTCAAACTGTTTGGTTTGCTTCTCTTAACATCTACGTTATAAACAGTGGCGTCTAAGTCTAAGATATAAAGACCATTGGTCATCTTAGCAGTTGCATAGTAAATATCATTTCTGAAAACCGAAAGGCACTTGTCTTTGATGTTAATAGAAAATCCTGCGTTGTCAAGACAGGACACAGAAATGATATTCCTGCTAATGGCAGGTACAAACAAGCAATTGTTTAAATGCAACAACAAGCCACTAGGGAGAGAGAGAACATAAGTTCCTACAGCGAGCGCATTGACAAGTGCTCCATTTCCGACCTTAAGCTGGACTTCTCCCTCAGTCAAATGTCTAACTTCATGCAGATTCTGCATAGAAGTGCAGATGTGAGAACCACATCCGGTATCCATCACCCAAGAGGTGAAATCAGACATGTTGACTTCAATAACGTAAATATCTGAGTTTTGGGGTTGACCCTGGTAAAGGTCTCTCAAGCGTTGTATCATAGGATGCACTTCCATGTCCGCGTGGAGCCTTTGGAGCT